TCAAGGGAACTGTTTGGATGTCTCAAATATCCAGCAAATGCTGAATAGCCGGTTCCATGAGCTCCCTTCAAGATGCCTCCTGGAAACAGGACAAGGCACATAGAACCTAGGTGGTTGTGATCTAAATTCTAAGAAAAGGCCATATCTAATTGTCAGATGTTGTAGCTTCCCACTGGTTAACAAAACCAGATAATCTGCCCCCAATGGGAGAACTATCACCACAATTAACGGGAGCAACAAAAAAAAGTGACTTCCTCCCCCACAAAAGGGCTGCTTGCCTGAGTACTGTGGCCTGTCCTTGGCAGCTCGTTCCTGCAGCTATTCCTGCGGTTAAAGGCCTGCCTTTGGAGCCCTTGAGCCCTGGTACTGCCCTCTCCTCTGAAGGTTAATCTATGGGAGTATGGAGCTGCTCTGTAACCTGAATGCCTGGACAAGGAGGGGAGGTATTTTCTCTTGTCCCTGGTTGCAATTAGATGGGGATCCAGGTCTTCCCCAAACAATTTGTCCCCCCAAATCGGGGCAGATGCCACCTTCCATTTGCGCCTGCCATCTGCCTGTCAATTTTTTAGCCAGACCATTCTACGGGCCGCCACTGATGTTGCTAAGGCTTTTGTTGCGAATCTGGCGCTATTCAAGGTGGCATCCGCTGTGAATTCTGCCACTGCCATTAGCTTGTTGATGTCCTGGTGTGCCGGGACATCCATGACAGGGATCCTGTCCTGCAATTATTGCAGCCAATGTAGGGAGGCTCTAGTGAAAAAAGAAGCCCAGACAGTCCTCCACTTTCAAGACTTCCTTTGGATCAGCTGGATTTGATGAAGAGGATACCAAGGAAGCAACTGGACTATCTATTGATGGTACTTGCAAGGATCTAATAAGTTCAGGACTCATGGTAAAGTAACGATGTTCGTTAGCAGACAACATGGCCGCTGTACCAGGGGACTCCAGTTGTTTGTTGACTACATTTAAAAATAGTCTTGGGGCCGGCACTATCTCAGGTCTCATAGTTGGTTCTGCAAAGAATTGGTCTGGAGGGGTTATTGTCTCTCCTACTATCTTCCCAACATCTGCCTCTGGGCCATATTCCTAGCCTTGAACAACAAGGAATGGAACAGATTTGATTTGAATACACCAGAGAAGGCTGGTCTCTAAGGAATCATGCCTTCATCTTCAGAGAGGTCTGACTCTCATTTGTCCTCTTCAGGAGCCATAGAAGAATGCTTATGCAGGGATGAGCCAGGTGGACCCTCTATCCCTCAAGATCTGCCTACTTCTGAAATGAATGGAAGGATCAGGATCTGAATCAGAAGCTACTGATTCAGGCCTTCTCGTTATTTGAAGACTTTCTACAATCCCCCTTCTGATGGCTTTGGATATTATTGCCTCCATGCGAGCAGGCAATTCTTGTTCTGTCCCCTCAGGATCACGCAGACCCACAGCAGTGGATGTAAATGTGGCCTCCACCTCTGGTCTAGGCCTCTTAGGGGGTTGTTCTCATGATTCATCCTGGAAAGCTGCCTGAGAAGCTCTTTTATAATCTCTGCTGCCTTCTATTAACTGTCGGTTAGTAGAGTCTAATGTTTCATCAGGTGATCAGGCCTGTAAATAGGGCCTACATGCAGGGGCAGGCCCAGGCTCAATTTGTAAAAGTGGAGGTTGAGCAGATGAAGCTGATTCACCCAGGGTCGGCAATCTGAGGCTCCTCCCGCCAGCAGCATGCTAGCTCTTCTCCACTTGCTTCTCCAAAGCTCTGTCTCCTCATGGCATTCTACCCTGGATGGCTTTTTGGGTTCAGGAGCCTTTCTTTTCTGCCTGCCCCTTGATCTGCCCCTAGATGAGGAGGGACTGTGGCCACCTTCCTTCTATGCATCCGCCATCTTAGCCTGGAGGGTAGGGGCAGTTGAGCCACACAAGGGAGACTGGTTCTTGGTGGGAAGGGGACGAGGGGTTACTTCCACATTCAAGCCCCTTAACTTCCCTCTAGGCCCCCCTTGTAGTTAACACAGTCCCTCTTACCTTTTATCTGGCTGAAGCAGGCTTCAGAGGCCTATTCCTGGGCTGCAGCGATGCCCTGCTGGTCACACCCTATCTCCAGGCCATGGACGGGCTCTTGGCCATATAGTGGCAACTTCCACGCCCGAAGCAGCCACTCAATTCAAAGGGACCTGCGTGAAGATATTCTGGACACACCATGCGAGGCAGCACTGTAACTGCTCTCCAGCGCTGGCAACGTGGTCGATTTCATGCCTCCAGCTGGACCTTGGGCCGATCTGCCTGCCGATTGCACTGACCACTGCCACGCGGTCGCGTCCACCTATTGAGATTGGGCTGATCTGCCCTATCACGCAGCCTTCTGCTACTCCACCACGCCTCCCAACTGGTTCCTTATTGGACCAATCGCCCGATCATGCAGGCTGCTGCTGTGCTGCTGTACCACATAGTTGATGCTGTTATTGGGCCAATCACCCAACCGCCTCCATGTGGCCGTGGCCTGCAAGCTGGGCCTCCACCCTAAGTGCTCATCACCTGGGTGGGAGTTGTTGAAAAAAAAACCCTTCCCAGCTTCTTGCTGTCCTGAGGGACTTTGGCCTATGGCTTTCAGCTGGGATCAGTTCTTTTTTTAAAAAAAATTCAAAAATGGCCTCCATTTCTCTGAAAAGCGGAGCTCCAGAATTCATGTCCATCCTGGCTGGGACTGAGTTGAAAACTGGGGCATGGCCTATGGTACAGGGCGGAGCTACAATCAATTACACAGACTCAGTCCAATAGGCGAGGACAATAGCCTACCCACTCTCTCTCGGGACTGTCACAGCCAGAGGAGAAGCCTTGAGTTATATGAGCTATTGTTCAATTTCTTAGTTAAATACTGATGCCAAATTTTACAATTATGGTTCAGAAAGTATTATCTTCAATAAATTACTCCACATAGTTTAGTTTTATGAAAGGATGTCAAGTCTTTAATAATATGGAAATTGAGATTTATCATTGCCTGAGAAAAATGAAACCACTGTTTTGACATCACTAGATGCAAAAAAACCCCACAAACCTTTGACATACCAACAAATCAAGTTTCTGGTAATAGGAAAATTGAATTTCCATTAACTCTTTATTTCTCGGCTAAATTATTGGATAAAAAATAATCTTGAAAGCTCTGCTTAAGTGACATAACACTTTCTAAATAATAATTAATATGCAATAGGGCACATGCTAGGGATTTCATTAAATATTTAATTTAGTATTGGAACCTTAGGTGTGTTTTGTATGAAAATGTCATTTCATCTGCAGTATGAAACAGAATATAAATTGTTGTATACAGATAGTTTTTTTCAATGTTTTGAATTTCTTTTTACAATTTTGTAGAAATTCTACAGCATTGTGCCATATATTCTGGATATATAATAATCTGGATAATTTTAATATTCCAATTAATAATGACTCCTGTTGATTACAAAAAAGGGGTTTTTATCCTTTTCATTTAAATATCTATGGATACTTTAGTAGAAATATGTATTTCAAATTTTATTACAGAAATGAAAGGGATAGTAAGAGATGGGTGAAAGTATCCCTGAATTTTTGGGAATAAATGAGGTAAAACAAGTAATATGTATGTTGAGAGTAAAAGCTATATTGTTTCCCCATAAATATTTCTTTAAAATCATCAGTTTAGTTATATTCAGCTGTGGGCTGAGTTTCACAATTCTTACTGAAAACTTGGATATCCTGGCATTTTCTTGATTCTAACTATAGCATCTTTTTCATAAGCTGGTAGGACTTTTTTGAGCTTTACTGGAAAATCTGACATTTTGAAATAATTTTTATTGTAAATAGGGAGGGGAAAAATTTGGAGTGGACTCATGGACTAAATGAATTTGAATTTATCAAAGCTAGGTGAATTGCTATATAATCAAAAATTGGTTAATTCTTTAGCCCTGAAGCTTTCACAGCCTTTATAAATTTTAAATGTATTGGAGGTTTCTACATGTATTAAAAATAACATATACTTGTATATATTACAAGAAATTAATATTGGAGAAATATTTTGTAACATTGGTGGTTTTAGGTTTAAAAAAATATTTCAAAATTATTTCTGATGATTTAAAAATCAGGTTAGTTCAGTAAATATTTATTTATAGAGTTTATTGGATGGTAAATGTTTTAAGAATTGTTGGCCATCATTTTTATAATCAAGTTGTATTAAATTGAAGGAAAGTTATTACATATGTTTTAGAGATATACTTTGCTATTTGATTAGATATTGTCATGGTAAACCAATTCCTTGCATGGACATTAAGAATGTTAATGAGTTACTAAATTCTCAAAGTTTGGAATTTGTCGAAGTTTTTGATATATTGAGCTTGGAGTGTTGAGGGGAAAAAGGTGATTTTGTACTTCGTGAGGCTTTTGAATATGATAGAAAGATCTATTCTAATGTTGGTTAGTAACAATGCAGCTAGCTAAGTTCAGATATCAGACAGCAACTGGAATATCTCTTCAACCAAGCGCATACACTTCTGAGACACCCAGGAAAACAGGCAGTTGATATGAATATGTGGGCAACTATTGGCCCTGAATCATCTTTTCTTATTGAATCCAGGAAGCCTTGGCCTTTAAGACATATGGTTTTGATTCTGGAGGTAATTCTTCATGAATTTGACTATCCTAATAAAAGCAATGACCTTGCTCCTAGCTCCTAGACAGCAATTAGTCCAATAATGTTATATTCTTCCATTTTTCCTTGCAAGCATACTTGTGAAACAAGCTAAGATGAGAGAGATAAACTGGCCAAAAATCACCCAGTGAACTTCTTTGGCTGAAGATTGACTTACATTATAAAGAGGGAGATCCAGTTCACCCCACTGGTTCTTCTCTTAGATAATTATAGATGACACAAAAAGATTGCAATCATCTTTTATCCTATCTTTGAGAGCCAGTCTGCAAATAACTGGCATTTTTAGTGTTCTAAACATTTTGAGGAAAAAAAATGATTTGTGCCTTATCAATTTCTGGATCATATTTTATTGGACAAAGTTTATTAAAACAGAAAATTAAGCAAGTAAGAAAACCAAAAATGCCTTAAATTATTGCATTTTACTCCATTCCTAAGTATGTGTAAATTATGAATACATAATTTATAGTAAAAGCTTGTTAAACAAAATATAGTACATTATTTAAAGAACAATCAAGAAGAGGGGAGGGGGATTCTCCACTCAAATCAAAAAGGATGCATTCAGCTTCATGCATCCAACTCTGGCAGGCATGTTATGCTCGGACAAAGCATCTCATTTATTACAGTACTAAAAAGCTGCCGAAAAGAAAAGACAAGAGAAGCAGGAGGGGGAGAAGGAAGAGACTGCATAGCACTCCGAGAGAGAGGTATCGAAAAGGCTCTTTGCTTCTCAGGAATCTCAGGTCAGCATGTCCCAAAGGCAGCAGCAGCACAATGCAGTCCAACATGCTGTCAGGCAGGTACTTTCACCAGAGGTATCTCTTCTCTGTTCTTCCACAACATACACTGAAAAAAGAAAAGACACATCACCAAAACTTGAGGAACCAAGTCTAACTCCAATCTTTTTTGCAAATGCAGGCAACTGAATAATGGCTTAGGCTTCATGCGCTCAACTGTTGCCACACTGCATTCTGGGCAGCCCCTTCTGGCTCAAGATAGTCAACTGGTACATGGATGGTCATTCATTGAAAGCATGGCACAAGTCCTGGAAGTGGGGGTACACAGCCGAAGAACTCCATCATTTTCACAGCCTCAGATATGTGTCTTCTTGTCTCTGCCATTTTAAATGGCTCTTTAAAGCTAAATTTTGTAATCTAAAATTTTTAATCTACAATTATGTATTTGAAGTACTGTATCCTATATTTCAAAGAGGAAAAAAATCCAAATGACTTTTAGGACAATTACCATAATAGCAACAAAAACAGGATGGAAGCTTTGAACAGAAGCACTGTACAACAGGAACAAACTTTTATCATTAATTAAAGACAAGGAAATACATTTAATTCAGGAATGTTAGAGTACAATAATGAGAAAATAAAGGATCAAAGAAATCACTAGAAAATTTTCAGTTAAGTTAGGAAAACTCAAAAGTTATTAACACAAAATGGAAGACTGCACCCAAGTGCTTTACAAATGGGTCTACAAATGAAACTTTTCTAGCTTCAAAATTGAATCTACTAGAAATTGAGATATCAGAACCAATAATCCAACTGTTGAATAAAAAAGCACTAAGTAGTCTTAATTTCTTCCTGCAACATTTTGAACACAGTCACCATTATGACTGTATTTTGTCCAAATAAATATTTGCAAGTTTCAATTCTTATGCAGTATTGGAAAAGGTATTTCTTTAAAGGATTTTCCTACCAGGACACCCAGCATAAGATGATACTCTCTCTCTCTAGTCTCTTTTGGCCTTCAAGGAAATAAAAATAGCTTTAAAGTTTGACCTCCAACTAATTCCACAATTAGAGACAACCCTATTTGGAAACAAGGAAGCATTCCAGATTGGAGAAAAATGCTGCAGCATTTTGGTCCTCATAGAGAGTAGGAGAGAAGAGAGAAATAGTACTCAGGAGATGAAAACCTGTAGGCATGATATTAAGGGCAGCTTAGGCAGCAATGTTTAAAAAATAATTACAAACAAAAGGACTTTCCTAATAAAACTATAAGTGTTACTAAGCTAATGTCCAGGGTATTCACTGCATGACATTTCTGATGACCTCTTCTCCTGGCTGAAGGCAGAGGACTAATATGGAAATTCCAGTTTTTCCTCTCATAAAAAAATTCAAAAATGTCATGTAACTTAATATTAGGCAATTTACTTTAAGTGGTATCCAGGAAAAGGGAAAGATCTGATTTATTCAGTAAACAGTAAAGTTATAATAATCTGAAAAGATTTCAAGATATGAAAATTTATTACAATCAAAATATTAAAAAGTCAAAATTAATCAGGAGACCCATCACTGGATTTCGGGTTTTGTTTCATGACTATAGAAAATGACCATTAGTCATCCTGCAGATTCCAGAGGGCTGTGTGGGGAACCAATACTGTTCAAGTATGCAAGAGGGTTGGTTCATTATGAAGGAAGCAGCAAGAAGAAGGAGATTAGCCCCAACCCACTCTTTTCTCAGTCTACAAGACAGTATCTACATTCTTGAGCTGTTATTTCATGCTGTGGGAAAAGACTGGAACGGAAGCATTTACAAGCAGTCTTTGAAAACAATCTGGATGGGAACGGAAGCATTTCAAATGTCTTTGAAAACAATTTGGAAATGTTGAGAGCTCAGCAGCAAGATAATCAGATCCTGAATAAAATACATATTTTTTATTTTATCCAAAATAGCTGAGCAAGAGTGCTTTAGGCAGGCTCAGCCAAAGTAATGAAAGCTTTGTGTTGCAGCTTTCATAATATGCAGCACTTCTTGATTTATTTATTTTATAGAAAATAGACATATTCCCCAAACAAAAGTAACTGTGGGTTATATCACTGCACAAAATATTTATAGATGCAACAGCACAGAGTTTACACAAACAGATACGTGAAGCACTGTCAAGCAGACTTAAAATCCAAAACAAAAACAATCTACTCTCCTTGCAGAAGCAGTCTCTTGAATGAGCTAGCTTCTGAACACCTTTATGCAAAATAAAATGACCTTTCATGCCAAAAATCATTATAGTGAGACCTGCATTTCACACTTTTCAACACAATCTGACTATATTCTGACAGATTATTTCTCTTTGCGGAAATCAAAAAGACTGTGCTTCATAGCTAGAAAGAAAGGAAAATAGTAGAAAAGTATCTTGTAATGTTTGTTAAATTTGCATTCAAAAACGGGCTATTAGCAATCCAGCAACCAGAACAGTGTAGAAATGTATTGCACTACTTTTGATAATTCAATACTGAATAAAATGGAAGACCTCTGACTTCTATCTTCCCATATTTTCTATTCCCCTTTGCAATACTCATAAGTTTGTCAAAGAGAATTTTTTCTACTAGTCATGAAGTGGAGTTTTTTCCCTAAGCACCTGATCACCTGGAATTCTTGGTGGTTATCAGGCTGTAATGGATGCCTCTATAGAATAAGGCACAACTAAAAAAACTGGATCAGGGTGTTTCTACTATTGATTTCCCACACTTGCCTCACATGAAGCATCCTTATACCTAATGTTAAAAATGTCTGCAGGGAGAATGTTAAAATGTATAAAGTGCAAGTTGTTTCAGATATTGCGCTGCTTAGGGATTTGTAGTTTGATGCCCATTCTACACAGCCTGGCAGAGTTGGTATGCTGCAAGTCCTATTGATTAAATAGTGCCACCTGACGGGTTCCAGAAAGAAGACCTCCTTTGTGAAAGCATCTGCCCTCTGGAATGACGATCTCCCAAAAGATTTGTATGCTTCCCACCCTGACTTTGTTTAAAAAGTCCTTAGAACCTAGCTGTTCTCTTGAGCCTTGACTTAGAGTAGGAGTGTCAAACTCAAATTCAAACAAAAACAAAAAACAAACAAAAAAGTCAAACAAAAAAATTGTTTGACTTGGGGGGCAGGAGGCACATGGCCAGCTCAACGTCAGGGGAGCCTGTGGTGGCCCAAGCACTCTGCCAGCGAAAACAGGCTCCCGAGCTTTGTTTTCGGCTGCGACGGCTTCTTGCAATCCTCTGCCAGCAAAAAGGAAGCTCAGGAGGGCTGCCTGTCTGCAGCCCTCCCAAGCTCCGTTTTCACTGATACTTGGTTTGTGAGCCTTCTTGCATTATTTTCCCACACATCTGCTTTTTGCATTGCATGTATTTAATTTTTTAAAATGTATATACTTTGTGTTACCCAAGTCATGAGGGAATTGGGAAATCCGAAACCCAACTACTGTGCTTGCAAAGATTGTGCCCTGAGTTTTCTGAGTCTCCAGTATCTGTTAAATCTCTGAGCAATATACGTAGCCCATCCCCACCAACATTTTGGGAGATAGAATAAGAAATGCTATAGACTGAGCTATTTTCAATTTCCATGATGAAGAAAAAGGCATCTACTCATATTAAAATATAATTCTTATTGTGATAAGAAATACAGCTTTAACAAAGTTACACATCACCCATACTCAAGTTTCAAATCTTAAGAGGCCCATCTGTAAGCAAAATATTGTGGAATGCAACATGTTACTTGGAACAGGTAGGAAGGTCCAAGTGATATGTGGCATTCTGAATGCAGCAATGCAGAAAAAATATCAGACAGAGATGACTTACTTTCCTAAATCTAATTCCACACCATAGAGAAGTTATGCTAGGACCCTAAATACAAAAGGCTTTCTAGTAAATGGAAATTATTGATCTCTCTTTCTGTAGAAGAGACAATAGCTGCAATGTGCACTTTTCAATTTTCAGATGAATGGAAAATCATCCCTAGTTATATCAGGTGCTGTTCACTTATAATGTAGATCAGGTTTCTGTGTTTGAAAATACCATGATCTTAATTCTCTTGCAACTTAACAGCAGCTGTTGCTCTATATAGAAGAAGGATAATGAGTTAAGTATTTTAGCTCCATGATAGAGTGGATCCCTCTATCATCTGTGTATAGTAGCATTACCATGTGCTGCCTCTAGCAATCAGTGGATGGAATTCTATTTTTATTACAGAGAGGGAAGAGCTGCCTTGACTGAACATACAAAAACAAAAGAAATCTCAGCTGAGATTCTTTTAAAAGCTCTTTCCCATTCAGCTTGATTGAATGTATTGCAGACAAAACTGTTAAGATAAAATTACAATTAAAAAATCTTGGAATTTGAACCAGTTTTGTCAAGTATTGTACACCTCAGTCACTGGTGCTATTCTACCAGTTCGGCCTGGTTCTGGTGTACCGGTTGCGCTGAAGAAAAGCTGAGACCGAACCAGTTCTCTCTGTAGAGTTGCTGTTGGGTCCTCCCACCCTCCCGGGCTCCTATACTGACTTTTATTCCCTGTTTTTGAAGCGCAGCTGCTTTGCACGGCACAGCAGATTGCCACACATCAGCTGTTGAAGCTGCAGGGATTGCAGGAGGTGAGTAGGAAAGCCTCTTTGCGCATATGAAAAGTGTGCATTTGGCGTGCGCAAAGTGTGTGCAAGCAGGCAAAGCGCACCCACCAAGCCACGCCCACTGAACCGGTGGGAAACCTCTTTGAAACCCACCACTGACCTCAGTGGAAATTCAAAATCTGCTACAGTTGTAGCAATTTTTATTACCAAGTGCTCCATATTTGTGATCAGCAAGAAATAGCTAAATCCTACAAAAAAGCATTTTTGTAGTATTAATGGTTGCTTTAATAAATGTTTTACTTTTATCAAATATTATGGATCAACTAGATACATTGTATTTTCAACCTTTGGATTGTTACTTTTTAAAAATTAAATTATCAAATTTATAATACCCAAACACACAAGCATGCCCTAACATTCATATATAAGCACATCTAAATGATCAACAAACCATTCATTCAATGCATTAATATATTTGACTGGCAGAATGCAGCCATAATTC